CCGTCTGTGCAAAACACCTATTTTGGGGTACCCTGATGCGGGCAAGTAATTTATAGTTGACACAGACGCAAGTGATATAGGACTTGGCGGTGTGTTGTCTCAACGGAATGGTGATCAAGAGATTGTGATAGCGTACTTCAGCAAGTCGTTGTCAAAGCCGGAAAGGAACTATTGTGTAACAAGATGGGAATTGCTTGCTATGGTAAAGTCCTTGCAGCATTTTAGCAAATATCTTCTGGGGCGGAAATTCCACTTACGAACTGACCATGCTGCACTGAAATGGCTATTGCAGTTCAAAAATCCGGATGGACAAGTTTCGAGATGGATTGAACTACTGCATGAATACGACTTTGTCATCGAACATCGCAGCGGGAAATGTCATGGCAATGCAGATGCATTGTCAAGAATACCTTGCCCTGAAAATTGCAAGCATTGTACTAGGTAAGGAAGTGGTATCTGTGAGGATGCTCAGGACAGATCATTGAGTGGAAGGACAGCCTACAATATGCACAGCAGGAAGATTCGGACACTAAGCAGAGTCTGGAATGGATGAAGGCCAGTTGTCCTAAGCCCAAGTGGAGCGACGTCTCAGCGATGAGTTCGACCACGAAAAGCTATTGGGCCCAATGGGACAGCTTGTTGATTCAGGATGGAGTCCTGTGCCGTAAATAGGAAAATGGTCGGGGAGACAGTTGTCATTTGCAAATGGTTGTCCCTAAGGTTAAAGTACCGGATGTTCTACAGCTGTACCATAGTGGTTGTACAGGAGGCCACCTGGGAGTTAAAAGATCCGAGAACGGTTTTACTGGGTCCACTGTCGTGACGATGTCGAGGACAGGTGCCGCAAATGTACAAGTTGTGCGGCTGTAAAGGGACCTCAAATTCGTAGTAGAGGCGCATCGAAATTGTACAATGTTAATGCACCATTAGAGAGGATAGCCATTGAGGTTGCGGGGCTGCTTCCGGAAAGTGAAAGTGATAACAAGTATTTCATGGTTGTGATGGATTACTTCACTAAGTGGCCAGAAGTCTTCGCCATTCCAAATCAAGAAGCTTCAACAGTTGCAGATAAACTAGTTCATGAAGTGTTCTGTCATTTTGGAGTACCTTTAGAGGTGAATCTCTAAAGGTACTCCAAGCGATCAAGGAAGGAATTTTGAGTCTCAAATATTCCAGGAAACTTGCCGAGTTATGGGTACTCATAAAACAAGAACAACTTCTTACCACCCACAATCTGATGGAATGGTAGAACGATTTACTCAGATATTGGAGAGGTACCTACAAAAGTTGTGCAAAAACGGCAACGAGACTGGGACAGGCACATACAACCGTTTTTGTTGTCATATCGAAGCGCTGTTCACGAAAGTACACCAGTGACACCAGTTTTCGCAAACTTTGGGAGAAAATTACGGCTGCCTGCAGACCTGATCACCGGAATACCACCTGATGCCCCACGCAGTATAACCGATTATGCAAATGACTTGCGGAACAAAATGAATGACATTTATGAGCACATCAGACAGACGGGCCAGCAAACGTCTGAGAAGATGAAAACACGGTATGACCGCAAAATGAACAACAAAGGGTTTGACGAAGGTTCACTAGTGTGATTACACAATCCAGTTCGCAGCAAAGGGAAATCGCCTAAGCTTCAAGCTAAATGGGACGGACCGTACCGGATTGTGACAAGGATCAATGATGAACCTACCGGATACAGAAAGGTGCCAGAGGTACTCCTAAGATCGTCCATGTGGATCGACTGGCGCGTTATTATGGGGCCAATAATGCTCGGGACAAGCATGTCTTAGGAGGGGGCAATGTTGCGCGCCACTATTAATGTCTTGTACATGGCAACACTAGTTACCCCTAGCGCCCTCTAGTGTCGAGTAGCAGAACTAGGAGAGTCATGATCCTTCTAGAAATTTCGGGACCGATATGTACTCGAACATTCTAGATGTCGCTACTGTAGAAGGTTCTGTAAACTATCTGAGGCCCTATCTATAAAAGGCCGGTATAGACCACGACCGAGAGAGTATTGAATTGGCGATATAAGCGAATACTTCGAAGTGATATAACTGCGAACTAAAATGTTCAGTAGTACAATTGTGTTTTATTATTAGTGTGTTTTTAAGTTGTAATTAGTGTTCCGTAATTAAAGCGTCAATTTTGGTAATTTAATCGGCAGTTTTTAATTTTCTCGAACCTCAAGCTCGTAACAATATCAATGATATGTTGCAAACTGGTAACATTCATTACTATGCGGATGACAGCACTGGTGATGCTCTATACACCGGCCGCGCCAATATTTCTCGGGAAAACGTCGCCGAGTACCGGAACAAACTTGTGTCTGAAGTCGAGTCTTTGCTGAACAAAGTCTAAGATTGGGGGCGACTAAATATATTCCAGTGTAATCCTCAGACGACACAAGTATGCGCGTTTACCGCTAAAAAGAACCCTTTGTCGTATCTCCTCAGTTTCAAGGCACTCCCCTTGTTGCCTCAGCCAGTATCGGAATCCTCAGCGTCGACATATCGAGTGACGTGCAGTTTCGTGGTCACTTGGAAGAGAAGGCCAAATTGGCCTCTAAAAAGCTTGGCGTGCTCAGCAGAGCGGGAGAGTATTTCATGCCGGCACACCGCCTGCAACTTTACAAGGCGCAGGTTCGGCCTCACATGGAATACTGTTCCCATCTCTGGGCAGGGCTCCCCAGTGCCAGCTTCTTTCACTTGACTGCATCCAGCGCAGAGCGGCTCGAATCGTCGACGACCGAGTCCTTTCCGATCGGCTCGATTCATTGGCGCTGCGAAGAGATGTTGCATCCCTTTGCATTTTCTTTCGCATTTACCACGGGGAGTGATCCGAGGAATTGTTCGGATTAATCCCAGCCGCCAAATTTCACGAACGTACATCGCGGCAGAACTCCCGATACCATCCACACCATCTGAGTGATTGGCGGTCCACCACTGTGCGATTTAGAAGATGTTTTCTTCCTCGCACAACTTCCTGTGGAATCGATTACCATCAGTGATTTTTCCGGACCGATAAGACTTAGGGACCTTCAATAAAAGAGCTTACGCCTTTCTAAAAGGCCGGCAACGCATCTGCAATTCCCCTGGTGTTGCAGTTGTTCTTGGGCGGCGGTAGTCACTTACCATCAGGTGAGCCGCATGCTAGTTTGTCGCCTCTCCTATAAAAAAAAAATATCTTCCCTTCTCATTTTTCGATAACGAAGCTACACAAGTGTATTTTCGATCGATTTGCCTAAATATGGTATGTCCTAAAAGGTCCACACTTAGAAGGAAGGTCAAAGAGCGATTGGAAGAGCTTCAATTGAATCTTAAGAAGCGACTACAACAATTTTCATCTAAAATGTCATTTGCCATTGATTTCATTATCCTTCCCTGTCATTCCGCGAACTTTTTGACCTCCCCTCGTATGTCCCTTTTTTTAGCAATATTGGCTGCTTTTGGGTTTCTGATAAAGATGAATAATCTAACCGACCACCTACCCGAAGCAGACCGTCCGCGATAAATAGCGATAACCTCAACGCAGGTTGGTTGATGAGCATGGTTGGCCCTTTTTAATATTTTTATATCGTCGGCAAAAGCGATACTCTGCACAATATTAATGATTGTGATTTCAGAAATCTCTATGTCGGACGTTGTTATAATTTTATGGCTGCGCAGTAATTCTTATAAAAACCTTAAAACATAAACGACGGTGCTTAGATACTTATTCCGATTAGAAAATTTTAAGCTTAAGGGGAGGTTATCCCAGATCTGTAGGCAATTATAACGCTTTCCCAGCTCACGCCATTTAACGCGACGCACGACGTATTTATTCACGATGCTGCGTGAACCATAGGTACTCTATGCGGCAATACTCTGTGCTCTGTTGGATAAAACACGCCACAGTATAAATATTTGCAGTAGATCAACTGAATTGAATACTATAATAATTGAATTGTTACTTTTCTTTTTTGGTAGGATTTCTTTATTCGGTCAGATTTACTTTTTATTATTTAGTAGTTTGCTTTTATTATTGCATAAAATGTACATATAATATCACTTTAAGAAAGTTTTAACAATAAACTAATTTTAATTTACTTAATCAAAAGAATATTTTCTTTTGACTAAAATTGCTTTGCAATAGCGTCGTCTACTGAAGTCAATCAAATTTTGTTCGATAAAATGATTTTACCTACACAATGAATTCTATAGGTAAAATCAGAACAAGGAAACAAAAATTAGGAAAAAAACCACTATCCAGGTGGTCCGTAAAATAGACTAATTTAATATAAATCGGTAAGATATGAAATCGTGGATGGTTAAGAATGGTATGGATAAGAGAATTTTATTCAATGTAATTAATTTAATTTGATAATAAATTTTTAATTTTTTAAATCTTTATTTTAACATTTAAAAGTTATATTAGCCATTTTTAAAGCACCGCACACAGAGGCCGATATAATACGAAACACTTTATACTGAACTAGCGGTTTTTATCGCGATATCACTCGCGTATATCACTCTCTGAGCTGCGCGACATGACACCTCGCTTATTCTCTTTTGATTATCATCTCAAACTTCCTTATTGAAAATACGATCTCTATTTTTAAGACGTTATGAGTAACATAAAGCCTTTCTCTTTTAATTTTTAATAGCCAAACATGCGAAAATTATTGAAAGGTTGCACAATTTTTTTTCTTGCGAAAGTGTGTTTGGCGACAGTGGTTCAAATTATGCGTTTTGCTACTTCCTCTTGTTTTTTATTTTCCGTGTTTTTCTATTACTGTGCTGTCATCTGCGTCCCTATAAATCAGGCATTATGATGCAGGAAAAGAGTTGCAGCGAGAACAGATCTCGAAAGATCAGTACTTCAATTGAAACTTAGATCTGACGTTCAACAAAACGGTTCTAAATGAAATAATAGCATCGATATAACAATTATATATTATTATTATTTATTTTTATATATTTACATACTACTTTATCACAGATTTATCCAAGGGTCCAAATTTTATCAATATCTGCTAAAACTTCTTCAGGTGTAGAATGCTTATGGAACATAAAATATCCTTGTATTTGAGCAGGACTAACTGATTTTTTCATAGCAACCACACTGAAAAGAAAATAAACTCTTTAACATTAACACAAAAATCAAACATAAACAATACATTGTTCTGCTTGTATACAATAGTATTAATATTTATATACAATAGTAGCGATTCGCCCCGACTTCGAACGGGTGATTTCTGGATCTCGACAACAGCGCCACATACCAGGTCCAAATGTGAATCTAAACCATCAAGGGACACATTCAAACACAAAATATTTCATCAAAATAGGTCGAGCCGTTTTTGAGTTATAGTGAGACTAACGGACAACAATTGATTTTTATATGTAAAAACTAGCTGTCCCCTGGCTAACTTCGCCCGGAATTGTGGATTTACTACGATTTCATGTTTTTTTTTGCGCGGGACCTTAACTCTTTTTCTAAAATAAAAGTATCCTAAGTTACTCCTTATAACACCAGCAATCTGCTAGTGAAAGTCGCGTCAAAATCGGTCCAGCCGTTTCGGAGATTAGCCAGAACAAACAGACAGACAAAAATTTTATAAATTGTTTTTTGTTATTAGTACCGTATATACTTTCATATTTTTATTATAGAAAAATAATTAGGGGTTTGCTCAATAAAAAATTAAAACCCATGAAAGCCAATCGTAATAAATTCACGCATACGAAGTCGCGGGGAACAGTAAGTGAAAAATAAATATCGTTTTGGGAGGGGTCATATCATAACAAAATCTGATATATTTTTATAATTTTTATAATAATTATTTTTACGATAATTAAGGCCGTTTTAGGACTTTTTATACATTTTAGCTTAGGTACACATTGCACGCTAGATACTCAGGTTATCGAAGATTTACGTTACGCTATACCACCTGTGGCTATGATGTCTCAACAATAAAAGCAGTAAACGAATTATTGTCAAATACAAGGATGTTACTATGATTTCTTAAACTCTGGACAATATCTGAAACGAGTTTGCTGCAACCAGTATATGCAGACATGCCACTCGCCAATGCACAGTGGCACTGATTCCGCCAGACATAATCCCAGAAAAAGCAAAAAAGTTGTTACTTACTTCGCGGCAAATGTTTTCGCAGCTATTGCATCTTTATAAAATCTCAAAAACATTAGTTCTACTTGCTCCTGATTACAGTATCCAACGAATTCTTTTAGGTCCACTCTGCCTGGTCTTATGAGAGCAGGGTCTAGCCTGTAAACCAAAATAAACATAATTTTATGATGTTCGTTTAATACAAGTTAATAAAGATACAGGTTTATTCAGAGTCGGACCATAAAAAGAAACAATTATAAGTGATGGTTTCAAATTACATTTCAAATTTATTATAATAAAATGAATTAGACGAGAATGATGTGGTAAATTGTCGCAGCCTTTTTTATAGAATAGGTAAGTAGTTGATGTGGTCCATAGACATCTACATCTATCCTCGTATACAAATCAAAATGCAGATGCGTTGTCACCCGTGAGAACTAAAACGAAATGACTAGTTTTCAGTAAAAGGGGCCTCCCGTCCTCTATGCTCACCATACGAAACACAGCAACGTTAAGCTGCTATTTTACGCTGGTATTCTGTGAGAGCGTGGTCTTTCCCCGGCCGAGCTGACCCATTCGTGCTACAATTATACTACTAATATAGCTGCAGCATGGCTCTACCACGTATAATCGCTTGTTTGTTGATTTAAACTAAATACTGAAACTACAGCAAATCCCGCGCAGTCAAGCTTATGGGTACGTGAACGTGTGTTACTGACGTAAACAGTCAGATTGGATCATCGTAAAATATAAAAAGAAGTAGTACTTGGCCATAAGTTTGGCTAAAATTATCGTGTTATGTTTTTGAAAATCAAAAATATAACACGATAATTGTGTTGTTTTTTATTTTGCTTAAACCTAAGCCTAATAACTTTTTTAGGGTGTTAAAATCAATTAAGTTACTACATTCTTGTAACTGTACGCGTCAGCTTGAATTGTGCAGTCGACGTAAACGTATAGCTTCTTGCATCTCGCGCGGATAGGTGTTTAGTTTTGTGTTACTGTAGCACATGAACACCTACAACTCGCTTTAAACAAAGAAGGACCCTGATACGTGACCTCTGAGGACTAAGACGGAATGCTTCACAGCTTACACTAGCTTTTCCATCTTTTAAACTGGAATAGAGTAAAGACACACAGCTACTTGGCGGCAGAAGTGGCCCTGAGGATACTATCGTAAGCAAAAAAGTAGATCTACCACCATTAACCTGTACCGCTCATAATCATTATGATGTATCACCATCATGTGCAGTTTAAAAAAATATTGTAGTAACCAAGAGAAACTACACAATTATTAATAACAACAGCATCTAAGGCACAAAGCATCTGTATTCTATAGAATGATGGTCAATAATGCTGACCTACGCTCAGTAGTGGAATGTTTATAGTAGTAATGCCATTCTATAATACTTTACCATAAATTAGCATGATAGCATTTTTACAATGTTCAATATTTTAAAAATATATGTTTGTGTGTTAGCAGTCCATTTAGCTAGTACCTACCTTTCTAAATAATTGGTAGTCATGAATACAATTCGAGCTTCTGTGGATGCTACACCATCTAGACAGTTAAGAAGTCCACTAAATGTGACCCTGTTAAGTCCCTCATAAGCAGCCTTCTGTTTTGGAGCGTCTTCCCGTGATACAAAAGCAGCATCTATGTCTTCAAGTAGTATAATCGACTGCTGTGGTGCAACACTGGATATATTAAATTACATATTATTATTTTACACTCTGCCATTTCAGTAACTGAATAACATCATTGTATAAATTTAGTATATAAATAATGTGCTAATCATTTGAGGGTGTGCAGTTATACGTTTTGTGTAAATTATGAAAGTGATTTAATAGGATTATGCTTGCAAAAAAAACCTTATCTTAAATAAATAACTGAATATCTTGATCCTTACATTGCAATTATTTGCTTTAGTCATGCTTAAGTAACTTTAACTTCATCTTTTCACACATACCCTCTTTTGAGGTTATTAAAGGAAGGGAACTCACCTGAAATTTTGTCATTGGTTTGTAAGAACGTATTTATTAAAATCTAAAGAATTAGAAAAAAACTATCACCTAACCTAAGAAGATGATTAAGCCTGTCATCTGTCAATCCTCTTTCTGATAAGTTTAAAACACAGATATTATATTCTAATTCACCAGCCAATGCCATGATGAATGAAGATTTACCACAGCCCGGAGGACCATAAAGCAGATACCCTGAAGAAAAATATACAAAAATGAGAAAGAGGTTTATCACAATTATGTCAAATATATAGATAATAATGTCTATGTCGCCTTGAGTTTGATTACTGTATATAGTTGCCATGTAGTGGTGATGAAAGAGAATAAAAGGAAACTGAAACAGAAGATGAACAACTTTCTTGATAACAAACTAAATTATAATTTCAATAAATACCCTTAAAGGGCGGCAAGCTGATAGTGAGTGGCGATACCACATGCCATTTACGAGATCTTACGGGGATACATTTGCCTCGGATGGCCAATAGTGGTGGAATGCTAGAAATTCATGCTTGAAGGGTGAAAGTGTATAATATGACGCCGAGAAGGTGCTGACTGTATAAGGACTTTCAGTTCGCAGTTCAATGCTACAACTCGCAATTAGTTAAGATTCAGGGTGTGGGATGGTCCCCTGCAGGGATCTTCCGTCTGGTTGGGTGATATCTTTTTATTTAAAAAAGGAAAAATAACTACTTTGTACTATGTGCATAATATACAGTTAGCAAAGCTGAACTAAGCTATAGCATTGTAAGGTAAAATAGAACATACTTCATCATCAGCCTGTAAAATCGCTTGGCAGGCACATTGACAATCACAGTACCAGACCTTTCGCAAATTTGACGCTGCTCCCTTACGCGGGTTGAGTATTTAACGCCTGGCATAAACGAGATGGTTATATCGCCATCTATAAAAGGTTTCAGGTGTTTCTGGCGTAAACCATAATCGTCTATTGCGACACACACGGGACGAAATGAAGTGATGGATATAAAATCCAGCTGCCGCCACCATAAGGCACTTATATCTTATTAGCGATCTTTAAATTTAATTGTATTATACCATAATTTTATTTAAACAATAAGATAATATACAATCATTTTATACCTCTTCTATAAGGTATTCCACGTTCCGTATACCATTGTGGGTTACCAATAAAGTCTAAGCAGTCAGTTACAATTTTTTCTGCCAAACCAGCACGAAGAATTACACTTTTTAATGGCCGTCTACGCCGGGGATGTCCGAAAGCGCGCCACTCAGAGCCCATAGCTGTATACATAACTGTCATACCTTCATGTTGCTTCAAGGCCATTGTTCTGGCTGGAATAATACAAAAATGGAAAATTAAAAAAATTACATGAACTAGATATCAATAATTACTGGAAGTAGTATTATAAAACTAAATATTTTTATATCTAAGCGTATTATATGTTGAGCACGGGTGGTGCTAAACGGGCGACAAACCCGAAAGAATAGACTCGGCTCGTAGCCATATGGTAGCGGCGTAAAATCTACCACCCCTAGTTATTGCACCATGAGGCATAGAATAAAAGAAATGGCCAGGAGTTCTCGGCGCTCCTTTAATAGGGTAGGGGTGCGAAGAATCTCCGGGTGTAAAACCGACGACGAGGTTCGCCACCCGTCACGTTCTGTCTCCCGGAGGGGCGAAAAGTGGATTGCGGTAGCCCGTCTGGCTACGCTGAATGTATTTGGAGCAATGAATGATAAAATGGATGAAGTATGCGAAATGATGTATGATAGAGGAATAGATGTGTTATGTGTAAATGAGACGAAACGAAAGGGAAAGGATACCACTGCACATGGCATGTATACCGCTTACTGATCTGGCGTAGACGAGACCGAGAGGGAATGCCAGAGAGTTGGTATCGTCCTTTCGGAAAGAATGGGTCAATGTGTGAAAGAGTATGGATGTTAAGCCCGAAGCTGCTATGGAAACGAATAAAAGTGAGCTTAAAGAAGTTGTTTGTGCTAGGGGTGTACGCCCCAGACATGTCTAAGCCCGCTTATATCCGAGAACAGTTTTGGTACTGTAGTTCCCTGTAGCCTCCCCGTCACCCCCGCCAATATATATTATGAAATTGGTATTAAGTGTAGAATAAGAGAGCAGTATAATTAAAGATTTAATATTAACAACACATCTCCTTCATTCAGCACCTTCCGACATTACATGGCGACCCTGCCAGGCGGTGCGCTGCTACAATGCACGCGCACCGCCGGGTCTACAAGAATAAAAAAAATTATATTAATAAAATATTATATTAATAATAGAAAGAAAATCATTATTATGGATTGACTGGTAAATATTATTAAAAAGATATATATTATAATAACGCAATAAACGCAATACCGGGTGTGACAAGAAAACTATACATAGGCTGCACTAAAAGTATCGGGAATGGAATATTTCCACTGTTCCTGTCATATTAAAATCTTTTTAATTGAAAACTCCTTGGTTTTAAAAATCGAATACCATTTCTTTATTTAAAAAAAAGATTCTCGGTCTTGTCACAAGGTTTTGTCAAACTTGTTTCGTTCGTTGAGAAAATGGAATTGACTCGAGAAAATTCAAGAGCGATGATTTATTATGACTTTCGAAGTGGTTTAACACAAAAACAGTGTGTTGACCGGATGATTTCTGCATTTGGTGATGAAGCCCCATCCAAAACCACAATTTATCGCTGGTTTGCTGAATTTCAACGTGGACGTGTCAAGCTCAGTGATGATCTCCGTCAAGGTCGTCCAAAACCTGCAGTCACCCAAGAAAACGTTGATGCTGTGCGTAAGTTGATTGAGGAAAATCGACATGTGACATACCGCGAAATTCAGGAAACTTTAGACATTGGCATGAGTCAAATATAAATAATCTTGCATGAACAATTAGGTGTAAAAAAGTTGTTTTCCCGATGGATACCGCATTCGCTCTGTGAAGAGCAAAAAGCGGCTCGCGTTACTTGGTGCGTCAGAACTCTCGAAAGATTCCACGCAGGATCCTCAAATGCTCCATACAACATCGTATCAGGTGACGAATCCTGGATATACGCGTACAAACCCGAAACAAAAAACAGGTCACGAGTTTGGGTGTTCGAAAATAAGTTAAAGTCAACAAAAATTGTTCGTTCACGGAGTGTTGCAAAAAAAAAAATGGTGGCCACGTTTGTCTCCAAAACCGGCCATGTTACGACTATTCCTCTTGAAAGACAAAGAACGGTTAATGCAGAATGGTATGCTAGCATTTGTTTGCCACAGGTCGTTTCTGAACTCCGTAAAGACAACTGCAACCGCCGCATCATCCTCCATCACGACAATGCGAGTTCTCACACCGCACACAGAACAAAAGAGTTTTTAGAGCAAGAAAACATAGAATTATTAGACCATCCGCCGTACAGCCCCGACCTAAGCCCTAATGATTTCTATACTTTCCCTAAAATAAAGAATAAATTGCGTGGACAGCGATTTTCATCACCTGAAGAAGCTGTGAACGCCTACAAAACGGCCATTTTGGAGACCCCAACTTCCGAATGGAATGGTTGCTTCAATGATTGGTTCCATCGTATGGAAAAATGTGTCAAATTTCGCGGAGAATACTTCGAAAAGCAATAAATACATTTTTAAATAGCAATGTTGTGTCACTTCCTTGATTCCCGAAATTTTCAGTGCCGCCCCTCGTAGGCCAGCATAATGGCAATTATTTTTTCTAGTACCTTAAACCGAAAACCAGCGCAACGACCCTACGTGTAACTTATTCATAAAAATTATACACGTCATTTGCAAGAAGAAGTATATTTATTATACACACACACACATTATATATATATATATATATATATATATATATATATATATATATATATATATATAGGCTGTATATATAGGCTCACAATTTAATCATATATCATAAATAAACTATTTAAATCCATTAAATACTTTCCTAACAGAATAATTCCAAAATATTATAAATCTTATAATTTGCTGAGTTCATTCAATTTAACCAAAAATTTAATTATTTCATTTCATATTAAGATAAACATAACATGTAATCATTTTCATTACCATAACAGTCATATCAAAATACAAGTTGCAATCCCAGCCACGTAAGCGATTTGTGACACTTGTTTTAAATTACAAAAGAGCCCTACACTTCTGAAACCATTTACTAATTATATTTCTTTGGAGGATTTTTCTTTGGAGGAGCCATCTGAAGAAAATAATGTCTTATTGAATCTTCTTCCTAAAACGCAACATGAATGAAATATTTCATGAAATGTCCGTCAACCAAAGCCGTATTCAATTTTCGGCTTCCCTATTCTTTCATACAATTTTAAGTTGGCTGAAAACTAAAATTAATAATTTTAGACTCAATCTAGTTTTCGGTTAGTACTGAGTAGTGTTAGCTACTAACACTACTCAGTACTCACCCTACTTCAGTTCACGTGCTGCGCTAGAGTAAGATAGACATATTTTTCGAGCATATGCTTTCAAAGACCCATGCAAGCAAACGTGTAACATTTTTCGTTTCAAGATTATAAAGTCAATAAGTAATATATACATATCACAATGAGTCTCTCAAAGAAGCTGATCTCTCAAAGAGATTTTGAGGGATCAGCAAATAGTTAGATGGTTAGAGGAAGTAGAAGACCATGATTTGAAAGAAACTTTGGAAAGCGAGAACTCCGATTATGGAGTAGGCGAACTCCGAGATAGTTCACACTAATCAGATTCCGAACAAGAATGCATATCTGATTTTGAAGCAGTTCAAGTATTAATTAGTCTTCTTCTGATGACAGCGATGTTCTGCTTTAACATATAAAGTTAAAGTTACAGCCTATATATGTCCCACTGCTGAGCACAGGCCTCCTCTCATTTCTGAAGCTGTTTTAAAACAAGGAAATGTGTACCACGCTGCCCCAATGCCTGTTGACGCACTCTTACGAACCCGGATGCAAGTATACTGTGAAATTTACAGCGAGCACTTAAACCTTAAGCTGAAAATTGAAGATGTATTCTCAGCTAATTGAACCGGCATGGATATTGTAATAGCGGTAATGTCTATTCAAAGATTTAGATTTCTTTTGTGCTGTTTGAGGTTCGACAGCATTAGAACACGGCAGGAAAGGCTACAATTTGATAATTGCCAATCAGATATATATTTTATCTATATTAACTCAATATACAACTTTTAAGAAAACTATGTGTTTATTGTCACAATTTTAAAACATAACTGCATGAGGCACATGTCGACAAAGTATATGCCCTAGACACTCGGCGTCGATTTGCACCAGTTATTTGGAACAGCAAAAGGCAGAGTAAAACGTTAGTTTAATTGGTTTCTTTATTTTAATTTTATGAAAAAAATACTTAAGTGATGCCTTATTTTGTATGATTTCATAAAACTTTAAGCATTTATTTGTTTTTATTTTATTTTACACTGTTTTTTTTTTGCAATACATAACGCAGTGTTGGTACCGACTTTGTTATATGGCAGCGAAACCTGGGTATGCCAGAAGAAGCATAAAAGTAAGTTGAATGAAGTGGAGATGCGATCTCTTCGTAAAATGTGCGGCGTTACCATGGCCGACCGAAAGCGAAACGAAGAGATTCACAATATGGCAGGTTTGAAAGATGACCTTATCACAAAAATTGATAAGGACGTGCTTCGGTGGTTTGGGCACGTTGAGCGAATGAGTGAAGACCGAATGGTGAAGAAAATATATAGCGCGAAAGTTAATATTAAAAGGTGTCGAGGTAGACCGAGACTAACTTTCGAAGACCATGTGAGCAAATTGCTCGAAGAGGGTAGGGTCAAAAGTACTCGGATGCCTAGACGTGCATGCATGAAGAAGATAATGAATCTGAAAGAAGCGAAAGAGGTTTGTAAGGATCGTGACACTTGGCGATCTGTTCTCTCTGGCTACCCCGTCAGGGACTGTGTGTGAAGATAAGTAAGTAAGTAAGTAAGATTAAAACTGATGCTATATTAAAAAGATTTTCAGATTACACAGGTAATTTGTTTATTCCATATAAAGCCTCAACTAATACTTGATTAATTATTGAATTAAAACATTATAGAAGTTTGTAAAATATAAGAAATCAAAAGGCTTTCAAAGACCTCATGCCACCAATAATGTTACAAAAATAAGCACAACTGACCTAGGGTTAAACATACCCCTTTTTCGTCGGGAGTTAGAAACATTACAAACTACATTGAAAACTTTCTAAGCAGAAAACCTAACAGAAGATTTTATAGGAACAGTTTTGCATGACATACGGCTTCATACTAGCTTAGTGGAGACTGTACTTTAAAATAATCTCACATTATTTAGAACAGATTATCAATATCTTCTGATTTGCCCATTTACTCATGGGCAGGCAAGCTATTTAGACTCTTCACACATTCCCAATATTTACAAAAACCTTATTGATCCAGCGTGTCATAATCAAGTCTATCTTTATCTGGCTTTGACACTATCCCATGTTAGTTTTAAAATATTCTAAACTTGCCCATAAATAGTATATCACATAGCAACCAAATTTGATATTTCGGTTTTGTCTGCCTATCACTCCTAATATCCAGCCTCTCTACAAATCTTTGGTCCACCAGTCTAGAATTAGTTCTGTCAATTTTGAAAATTTTGCATACATGTGTAACATAGAAATTAGGTTTGCAGTTGAGTGACCTTGAAAATGACTCCTCTTTAACCATTTTAAATCTGATACTATCAATAAACCATTTTTTGTAGAAAGGCTGAATATACAAATTCTTTAGGTAAGTTTAATAATATTATTGTATACATTTAAAAACTTAAATTAAATTATTTTATAACTTAAACATGTTTTTTTGGTAAAGTTGTGTAGTAACTAAATTGTGGAAAGAACACCTTTTCACATAAAGCCAGTAAGATGCTTTATAAAATGAGTGACAAGAACCATGGAAACTTTTTATAGGTAAATATTCAACTTTAGTCAAGTCTTATATATTATTAATAAATTTAACTACAGAGCTAACCTTATAGGATATGAAAATATTATGTAATACCTTCCTCAAGAATATCGTAATAAATTTGTTTATTACGTCCAAATGCTGTCAATGTAACAGTTTCAAAAGGTATACCCATATGTAAATCTATAGTTTGCTGCTCTCTTGTTCGATCAACTTTTATCCAAGCTCCCCCATATCTGTAATTTTAAATAAATTGATGATGCAAAAAAAAAATGCAATAACTGCATAAATGTAAATATTACTGCTTTTAACAAGATTAACCTGAAGAAATGTTGTCCGACACTTGGTATAAAATCATATTTTGTTTTTATTTGCCCAGTATCCTTTTGAAGAAACGATGTTTCAACACTTAAGTGTTGTGTGTGTTTTGCTCCCTTTTTTGTGATCCAGTGCAATAACCATTGATAGGATTTATCACGGCACGGTACTTCCAAAGTTATCATGCATTGTCTTCGAAATAAAATCACAGATGCCTGTATCCCTTTTCTTAAAACTGCGGCAGCAGCTCCAATACCAAATAAACCAAACCCAGCACCAAAATAAGGATTTTGTGACAACGAGGCTACATATTCAGTGATAGGCATGATTATGTTAATAATAATATAAATACATAAATATAAATATTTTTACAGTAAACTACTGGAAACTGTTATGTATTTCCTTCTACTTATAGAGCGCAACCGCCAAGAATTTCTGACATTGACAGTTGACACAAGACCAGCCATCAGATCATACAGATGTTATTGTTTTTGTTACGATTCGAAATATAATGTAGGCAAAGGTCTTAGATCATACAGATCATAGTCTGATTTGTAATTTATTCTCAAAACTTTTCACAATATGCTAATGAGTTACATTATATTGATTAAAAAGATTTATGATTACTAATTATATATTTTTTCTCTTTATTAGGTTTACCAACAATTGCTAACACTAACACATCAAATTAGTACAATTACTTAAAAGTATTAAAAAGTGCTACAATCACTTAAAGGTAAACTCCGCATGCATTTATGTAACTTTATAAAAACATAAACTAAAAAAACAATAAGTTATTCCTCAACTAAAATGGAAAATATATCTTTTAGTAAGAATAGTGCTACATAAACTTCAAAAATAAAATAAATATCTATTTTACTTTACGCTATTAGGTTATACTTTTACGGAGACACTTAGAGAATATTTTGGGTGAGTCAAAGTGAATGTCGATTTGATCGCAGTATCCACAAATTATAAAGTTGTATGTACAAGAGTATCCATTAATAACTTTGCAGAATCTGACATAAGAAGAATTCCTTACCAATACAGTTCTTTTTAATGGTGGACTAAGTGGTACAATAGAGCTGCGGGGTAATCTCGAGGGTCACGAAATTTAAAAAGTTCTATTAAACTGGGGCAATTAAATGTAGAATTAAATATTTTATGTACAAAAACTGCATCATTACACTATCTGTGACCAGTGGCGTAGCTATGTAATCAAGGGCCCCGGGGCAAAAATGAAATTGGGGCCCTATTTAAACTAACCTAAATATTTAAAGGTGCAAAACTAATTAATCATCAGCTCCTTGTCGACCACTGCAGATAAAGCAAAGCTTAGCTTTTTACTACTAAGTATTGTGTAACGCATAAACAATGACGAAGTAGATTACAGTTAATAATATAGGCAAACAACATAACAGTGGAAAAGCCACACGGCAGCTTTTGCTGTGGCACGGGTATGCCAGATTAGACGGAGTGACGATCTGGTAAGACATGAAATGAGAAGCTGTAATTAATTAATGTAGTGAATAGGTGGACCGGCTCGAAGCGAGGAGACCCACGACCTTATAGATAACCAGCGTAAAGTAGAAGTTTACTTCGCCTGTTAAGTGCAGGTGGTCGAAGGCGTAAGCCCTCTTCCCCTTGACATGGTAGTGTAATTAAATATTATAGCGGGTGCTCAGGCTGCCTCGGGTATCCTTGGGTGGGGGGGAATTCCGCTCAAGACTAATACTGCTCGCGGCAAGTAAAGCAATAAGGGAAGGTGACCCCTGCCATGCTATCCGTCAATTTCTGCAACATCAGGGGATTTCATTCGAACGTTAAAGAAGTCCACAAGGTACCGTCTGAAGGCGGCGAAGTCGACCTTGCTCTTTCTAAACGAGGCGCAAGTGTCCTCTCTGGAGACTTCTCTCCTATCCGGGTAACAACAGTTTTGTGCCTCGGACTGGAGTTTGCGTATACGTCAGAGAGGACATGTGTTCTCAACGCCTCGGCAGTTTAAAAGATCAGCAACGACCATCCTCGCGTCTACGGGTGCCTCTATAGGTTATGTCGACACACACCAACTCAGCGACCACGTCCAAATCATTGCACACTCCGTGCTACAACAGGTCCCGTCTGCAGAGGTCATGATCCTTGGCGATTTTAACGGCTACCACGCTGAATGGCTTGGTTCTCGTTTAACCGATCATGCGGGGAGACATGTTTATGACTATGCCTTGGCATATAGTCCAATATAACTGGTTACTTTGCCAACGCGGATTCCAGATTATGCACCTTCTCTGTTGACCCTTCTGCTGATCTCTCATCCGGACGGATATCAGGTCTCCGTCGACGCCCCTCTTGGCTCATTGGACCATTGTTTGATCCCGACTATGGTGCCACTCACACTTCTATCGCGGTTGCAGATCGCCGCCGTGTTTGGCACTATAGGTCGGCCGATTGGGACAGGATGCGTACTTTTTTGCATCCTTTCTTTGAGGACAGGGGCGGGTATGTTTCTCGCCAAAAGATCCCAACGTGCTTCTGTCGCTGATGTGGTACTTCAGTGAATGGGACTTATTATTCTATCGTCTGTGGTGCCTGGTTTGGTCGTTCCTATAAAATTGCATCGCGCTAGAGTTCTTCACCAGCGTTGTTAAAATAGAAGTATAATTTCGCCTTCAGGTCGGTACGATACGGTTTATACAGCGCTCGGTACGCATAGCACTACTCTCCCTAGACGTCAAATCCTTCCCGAGAATTTTTGTTACTATATCAGTAGTTTTCTTGCAGATTGGAGCAACAAAGTCGTAGTAGAAGGTGTATGCTCCATTTTCAAGTCTATTTATGCTGGTGTTCCACAAGGCTACGTGCTATCACCTACGCTGTTTCTTGTGCTTATCAATAATGGGTTGCAAACCTGTAACGTGCATTGGTGATGCTTTATACTCCGCCTGTGCCTATACTTCTCAGAATACAATACCTAGTACCGGGACAAACTTGTGTCTGTAGTCGAGTTTTTGCCGGATAAAGTCTCGGATCGGGGCGACTAAATCTAATTAAGTTCAATGCCCCGAAGACACAAGTTTGCGCGTTAAGCACTAAAAAGAATCCCTTTGTCGTAAGTCCTCAATTTCAGGGCACACCCCTTGTTACCTCAGACAGTATCGGAATCTTCGACGTTGACATATCGTATAACGTGCAGTTTGGTGGTCACTTGGAAGGGAAGGCTGAATTGGCCTCTAAAAAGCTTGGGGTGCTCAGCAGAGTGGGACAGTATTTTATGCCGGCACACTGCTTGCAACTTTACAAGGGGCGGGTTCGGCCTAACGTGGAATACTGTTCTCATACCTGGGCCGGGCTCCCTATTACCAACTCCTTCCACTTGACCGCATCCAGCGCAGAGCGGGTCGAATCGTCGACGACCGATGAAAACTAGACGAAGAGATGTTGCATCCCATTGCATTTTCTATCGCATTTACTTCAGGGATTGTTCAGAGGAATTGTTCGGATTAATTCCAGCCACAAAATTTCTTCAACGCTTTTCACAAATCCACATCATCGGGATGTTTGGCGGTCCACTACTGTCGGACCGATACGACTTAGGGAGCTTCAAGAAACGAGCTTACTCCTTTTTAAAAAGCCAGCAACGCGCTTGCAATTCCCCTGGTGTTGTATTTGTTAATAGGCGGTGGTCGACACTTGCCATTAGGTGAGCCACATGCTCGTTTTTCCCTCTCCTAGACAATAAGACGATTATACTTTTCATTCCTTAAAAGGCCTTCAACATTTTCTGCCGTTATCAACGAAGATTTCTCTTGTCCAAATACTTATTTTCCCAATTCTTGACTATGCTGATGTCTGTTATTTGGATGCGACTGAGGAGCAATTAAACAAACTTGAGCGCTTGCATCTTCGATTTGCCGACGATATAGTCCTTATGGCAGAATCGCTGGAGGACCTAAGCACTATGCTCAATGACCTCAATAGTGTTTCCCAACGGATAGGTCTTAAGATGAACATGGACAAAACTAAGATCATGTTTAATGTCCATGTCACACCTATGCCGGTAGTTGTTGGGAACACTAAGCTCGAAGTTGTTGACGAGTATGTTTACCTGGGGCAAATAGTCCGACTAGGTAAGTCCAACTTCGACCGAGAGGTCAATCGACGGATTCAACTCGGTTGGGCAGCGTTCGGGAAATTACGGCACATCTTCTCGTCAGGTATACCTCAAAACTTGAAAACGAGACTGTACACCCAGTGCGTGTTGCCAGTGATGACATACGGAACTGAGACGTGGTCCTTCACTGCTGGCCGGATGAGGAAGCTCAAGGTCGCTCAGCGAGCTATGGAGAGGGCTATGCTCGGAGTTTCTCTGCGTGATAAACTCAGAAATGAGGATATCCGCAGTAGAACTAGAGTGACCGACATAGCCTAACGGATTAGTAAGCTGAAGTGGCAATGGGCCGGCCATATAGCTCGAAGAACCGACAACCGATGGGGAAGAAAGGTTCTCGAGTGGCAGCCTCGTACCGGCAGGCGAAGTGTAGGGCGTCCCCGCACTAGATGGAGTGACGACCTGGTAAGATATGCAGGAAGTCGATGGATGCAGGTGGCTCAGGGCCGTGCTTTGTGGCATTCTTTGGGGGAGGCCTATGTTCAGCAGTGGACTTGTGAAGGGCTGTAATGACAATGATGAGCGCTTGCAAAACTTATGTATTCGTTATATTTTCGGACTAAAAAAGTATGGCCACATCTCCTCCTATCGCAAACAGCTCAAGTGGCTCCCAATCCGACTTCGCATGAATACCCGAATCCTATGCCTCCTCTTTAACATACTATACAATCCAACATCACCACCTTATCTACGTGATCGATTCCACTTTGCGCACTCCCCCGATGCAGTTTGCAGATCACATTTAAAAACCCTCCTAAATTTGCCTTCCTCTAAAACTAAGTCCTATTCTCACTCTTTTACAGTACATGCAGTTAGGTTATGGAATTCTCTTCCTGCTGCAATTCGAGAAGCTCAATCAGTGTCCGTGTTCAAAAGGCGAGTTAAAGAGCACTATCTCTTTCTTTGTCGTCCCAATGATTATATATATATATATATATATATATAATATATTATTATATTTATATATGTAATATATATATATATTTATATATATATATATATGTATATATATATATATATGTGTATATGTGTATATATATATGTGTATATGTATTTATAGTGGTATTTAGTTATATGTATTTTACATGGATATTTGTTTTTATTATCTTTACTTTATGTTAAGTATATTAATATTATAAAATTTTATTATGAGAGTGCACA